TGACAATTTCCTTATTTTGTATACGTAATTGATTACGTATATATTATACATAATTTCAGTATATTTTATACATTTTTACGAATATTAAAACGTATTATTACCGTATACAATTCTGTATATAAATTTTTTATAGGGAGTTAATAATATAAAAATAATACTGTGTAAATAAAGTTATATAATATACAATTAATTATATATAAAAATTTATATTAATTTTTATTTTATTTATATAGTATATATTTAGCAATATTAAACTAAATACTAATATTTGCAAAATAAAATATAATATATTGAAAAACCTGTTTTAAAATATTTACGATATCATGATGAAACAATTCTACCAACTTATTTTATTAGTTATATAGGATAAAAAATTAATGAAAAATTTTATTGCTATATTAGTATAAAAGAAAATGTTGATCTTAGTTTATTTTGTTAACTTTTAGATAAATTATATGTAAGATTGGTAAAGTCCTAAAAAGTCCTAATTAGTCTTTATGAATTTAAAGATAATTTTTATTTATATTTTTTTAATTATTATTTTAAATAAATTTTTTTATTAATTTAAAATAAAAAAAATTCAGAAATATATTTAATTTAAAATCTAATCCTAAGACCTAAATCCTAAATCTAATATTTTAAAGATTTTTTAAATTTAAAAAAAAAATTTTATTTTATTTTAATAAGTAACATTAATTAAAAATAATTTATATGATAATATTTAAAAAAAAATAATATAAAAACTAACAAAATTTTTAAATTAATTAGGATCAATTAGGATTTTTTAACGTTCACATAATATGTCTCCTATTGATAGGAATAACTGCATTTACTATAAGGATTGATGCTTTCAATTTTTACATTTTCATATTTACAGAAAACTATTTTTCTGGTTCAAGTCCACATTTCTTTTCCATAAATAATCTTTTTTTTTGTGAATTATAATAACAAAAATAGAAGGCTTTATCACGTAGTTTATACTTGTTAAAACTATACGTTTATAGGACTACTATAACTTAATCCATCTCAACCTAAGTGGCTTGTATAATATATATGTTAGATTTTCATTATTTTTCGTTATTTTTTTTTTTCACATTCAAATATATAATTCACAACATATCATATCTATTACCTTTTTTATGTAAATATAAACAAATTATATAAATCATTGCATAAAATTCATTTAATGATATAAAAAGAAATTTTAACAAATTTTCTGTCAAAAATAAATAATGATAATTCACAACAACTTTAGAATAAAATTTTGAAGTTACCTTTAATATAAACAATACTCTTATCAAAGTTTATTTCAACTTACAAGTTTACGTGTGTTCTATTCAACGCTGTAAGTATTATTGTTAATTATATAGTAATTATAGATAGAAATATTATCTTTATCATGCCTTTAATACTTATTATATATATTATTTCTAAAGATACTCTATACAATATTCACAAAAAAATGAATTATGTAATTGCCAATCCTGAAAAATCATCCCAAATTTTTGAGGAAAAAGATGTTGATAAAACTGATGTTAAGTTTAACGACCCTAATAAGAAGTATGAGATTCTGGATGATGAAGAGTATAGCAACGCAAATACTTTTTCTAACCACCCAGAAATACTTACCACTAATACAACCGAAAACAATGATAATCGTGAAATACATGACTTTTGCCTTGACGAATTTGCAATGAATTATGTAAAGGAATATGCAACTTCAATGGTTACCGATTTTGAAAAAAAAAGAAGTACATGTGGATTGGTTTGGATCTGACATTAATATACAATCAGAGATAGAATCAATTTGGACCTCATCAGCAGATGATAATGAAAACACTGATTATGAGTTAAATGGTAATAGTGAAAATATAGAAAATTAATATGTAATCATTGACATTATTAATGGTATAATATAACAATGTACAAATAATACATATTGTCTAATCAAACAATTAATAGGAGTATGGGAATTAGATTATAATACAGTAGAAACATGTGTCAATGCGAATAGACAAAGATCTTTACATTTACTTAGAGTATGCTCATCTTATTTTAATTGGGATCAGGATAGCGCCCATAAACGCAGCTTAAAAGTCATTGTTTCTATTAATAAGAGCTGGATACATCTAGTGATGTATATTTTCGATGTCTCAAACATTTTGAGACTATCCTACACTATGTCCCAAAATGTCTCACATTAAGACCCAATGTCCCAGGTCATGTTCCAACAATGTCCCATAACAACACTGAATACACCTACGTCAGTATCTTTTTTGTGACAATAATAAGTATTTTGTTAGTAGAGGTGGTTGTAAACATCATTCCTGGAAGGTTATAGGACGTAATATACAAGTTCTGTGCACTGGTTTAAAAGAATGTTCAGTATTTATGGAAAATAAACTTTGTCAAACTTCAAACTTTGCAACCTGATCTCAATATGTTTGTTCATCTTGTTTTGAAATTGAAGGATGTCATTTTTTCTAGCGAAAAGGCAGAGGAGCAAAATATTTTACCTGTAATGAGTATCATAAAAATGATACTTCCAAATCACTAGATCTCATTAGTAAATGGATGCAAGATATAGCAACCAATTCAGACCAATTAATTAAAGATATTTTACTTAAAGAACTTTTGAAAACTATTGTTAATTTTTTTGAAAGAAAGGCAGAAGTTTCAAAGGAATGTAAACTTAATGAATTTCAGGTATCATTTCAAAAAGATAAGTTCCCAGCTATATGATAATAAAGATGGCTTTACGATTAAAAAAAGTAAACATTAAAAAATTATGTGAAGTAGAACGATATCATGATTTAATTATAAAATATCTTAATGAGTTTGAAGAAATGCTTGGATTAGTAATCTGGAGATCTCGTTCTGAAATAAATGAAAAAAAAGGAACTCAAAATACCATTAACATTTGATGAATATCGGAGTGCTTTTCCAAATGTAATGAATAAAATCATTGAAGGATTCTTAATATTTATCTAATATAACAAGTGGAAAGTTATAAAAAAAACAAAAGCAACGAAAACAAGAATATAAAGAATTTGATAACACATGAGCAGTTAAGATTTTAGCTTTTATAATTTCTGTTATACTTACAGTAACATTCCCTGGAATTAATATTTGTTTGACACATATTATGAGTAGTTTATGTCAAAAGCTACAGTTATATTCAACTTTATATGCTATATTATGTATGGCTAATATAATTTCTCATATAGCACGTTATGAAAAGCAATTAGAAAAAGAAAGATGATTGGAAAATAATTCTAATGAAAGGATTTTACATGGTGATAATATATGAAATGTATGTATTATAGACAATATTGACTTTAAGGAAAAAACATTTTGTTATGACAATATTTTTGATGTAGTTTGACAAACGGCACATACAATTTTAAGGATAGTTTTTCAATTTACTTTGCCGAAACCTTTATCAGAAATTGTTAAAACAAATAATAATACAAATTTTGAATTCTAAGTGGGTATTTCCTCAATTATAAAAGATCAGCTTCAGCAATTTGAAAAAATATTTTACCTTCTTATAGAAGGTCATAACAGAAATTTTGATGTTACTGATGTACGTACAGAATTCAGAAAATTTACTGATATGGGATGCAATATACTATTACCAAATGTTGTAATATTAGAACCGAGTGATAATTCCTGCAATAATGAAATGTTTACAATGCAGCAAAATGTACTTTAATGATGTAGGCATAGATAGTTTAGGTCATATTGATTTTGCTGCAGATGAGGCTATATTTCGATGACTTGTTTCTTTACATGAAACTCATCCGGAAATATGACCCTTACTTGAGGCATGGTATACTAATAAAAGTATGTGTACAACTTTAATTGCAATTTTTTCTGGCTATGGGATTTTTAAACTTGTAGCAGTTCTCAGAGTTTCTTATTTTAATAAATTAGAAAAGGTAGTTGATTATCCAGCCACTTGTCATGTATTGAAATTAATTTGGGTAGCAGTTAGAATTGCAATTACTCTATACATTAAATATAAAAATATTACAATGCAAGATATTTTTTATGGGCAAAATAATATTTTAAAAGTCTGATATCTTTATTTTTACTGGACAGGATTTTGGGTTGAACACAAACTAGGAATTAAGTTCAGTAACCATGATTATACATGAAGTCGAAATAGATCATTTCGGATATCCGAAATGGTCGAAATGGTCGAAATCATTTCGACCATTAGAGG